TATCACAACAAAAAGGGCATGTGAACTCATTTAAGTTAAGTCTTTTAAAACCAATCATGCTTCAGTAACAGGCAGACTTAATTTACAAGAGTCGGGTTCTGATGCCTAAATGTCTATTAGATTGGTATTTACAAGATAGCAGGATCTACTGCTTCAACATGGTATGGCAGCGGATGCAGTTGTATTTGCTCATCAAGCCAGTTAGAACTCTGGATCCTCCCTATATAGTACACTAACTTCTTCATTAAGTACTGAATTTTCTTTTTTCTTCTAGTTTCCTAGTTCGTTTACTAAGCAATAAAACTGAAATTTGCACAAATTACAAAAAAGGCAAATATGATTTTCTTTCAGTAAAGTTACAAATCTGACCTATTGAGAGAGTAAACGTCCCAGCTAGAAACGAGATCGGAGGCGCTTAGGCTGTATTGAATACAGAAAGTAAGACCTAAAAAGCACAAAATCAAATCAGGGAACATAACCGCATGAATTCATTATACACTGCGAGAAAGGAAGCAAAAAAAAAAAAAACAACTTTTTTACTTACATTTGTTGAGAATTTCTGCTTCATCATCGAGACTGAAGCCATTTTTCAGGAATTCAGCTTTGATCTCCTCTTCCATGGCGGTCGAGAACCTAGGGTTAGGTTTTTTTTTTTTCGGTCTGTTGGAGGAAGAGAACAATTTTAGCTGGAGAGAAAAATGGCGGGAAAACGTTCGCTCCACTTCTACCGTTTCTTGTAATTTATTGTCACAAATTTCCTTTTTTTCCTTTCTAATGAAATCTATAACGTAACAAAAAAAAAAAGGTTAACCGTGCTTTTGCGCGGTCATAAAAATAATTTTATAAATATAAAAGTATAGATGTAGTTTGTAAAATATTGTTCATTTTGTTTTGTATATAAAGAAGTATTATTTAATAAACTAATACTATTTTTATTGTAAATTTTAAATATTACAAATGAGTAACTATGTTGTTTTATTGTATTTTTCATGTAAAATATGAAAAATTTATCATAATAATTTTGGAAGAATTTATACTCAAAGTCATAGTGAAAAATAATTATTTTTACCCTGAGTTCCTACATATATTTCTATATATATATTAGAAGAGACAGTTTCAAATCCTTTCAACATGTGTGCTCTTTGTCATTCAATTATTTTATAAGGGTAGTTTTGGTTATTTCAGCATCAAAGTAATAAATTTTGCTTTGCATTCTCCTTTTCTATACGTGTCTTTTTATCAGGAGTTGAGCAAGCAACACGTAGGTTTTCTAATTCAGCTTTAATACCTAAAACATTTTCTCTTCCTTCTTGCTTTCCTGTATATAGAAGTGTGCATTGTTGTATGCAGGGGAGGACCCATAGTGGTTCAATTGAACCCACTTCATCGAAAAAATTTGTATTTTACATATATAAATTAATTGTAAGTTCGTTCATATGACTAAAATGAACCCACTCTTTATACAATGAATGGCGTGGATCAGTGGTGAATGGGTTCATTTTCGTGCCATGAACCCAAGTTCGAACCTCAGCTAAGGCATAACTTTTTGTTCTTTTTTGTATTTTCTTGATACTCTTCCTTTTTAAAATTAACTAACAAATGTAGACTATTATAGATCTAGACTTCTAGTTCATGTGAATTTCTTGATACTTTTCCTTTTTTAAAATTAACTAATAAATGTAAACTATTATAGATCTAGACTTCTAGTTCATGTGAAATAACAACAGTAATATTCTAAATTTATTAGTTAAGTTTTTTTTTTATTTTTATGTTTGTATTTGTAAAATTGTCAATAATTTAGACAATAAGTTCATAGTTTTAAATATTCTCTCCGATCCATATTATTTTATCATTTTCTTTTTTACATGCATATTAAGAAATCATTAAGAAGAAAATAATTTTACTAATCCACCCCTTAAAAACTTCTTGCGAATTTTACAAATAAATGTGAACGCTTTCAAAAAGAATTAATTACAAGGATAATATATGAAAATTTTGATTAATGTTTTCTTGATTTAGTAAGGTGGACAACTAATTTTAGTAAAATAAACAATTATTATGAAACGGATGAGTAGTACTTAGTTTTATTTTTTGAAGTATACAAAATTATGTATTTATTTTCCTTTTAACTTGGTATACACGAAAGTTAGGATAGTGCATTTTTATTTATTTATTATTTTACTAATTTTTATTTATTTATGGTTTTCAAAATTGTTATAGTTTTAGTCTTATATATATGAGTAATAAGTAGCTTGTTAAATTGAAAATATGTGAAAAATTTTCTTGTAAGTAGATAAAAATTTAATAGAGTATATTTTTTGTTAGGAAAATCATCTCAAAAATATAATTAAAAAAAACTGATAATTATTATTATTGATGGTTGGCATGATTATTTGTAACTTGAACAAAATTCTAGGTTTGTATGTAGAAAATTTTATCCTTGTGCTGCAGCTACTGTGTGTTATTCTACAGGTATGCTTTCAGTTACTATCTTCTCCCTTTTAGATAAATTATGGAGAACGAAGAAGACCCAATTTGATTTTTGTATATCTCACCGTGGTAGATTGGATTGCAAGATCTGTTTACTTTTGTGCTATAAGAGATATTTTGATTGTGGTGTTTCAAATCTGTAGGGATTTTGTTTCGGGTTATAAGGAATTTTGATTTTTGGATTACTTTTGAGCCGTAAGAAATTGCTTCATTTTGGGATAATAACCTTGCAGATTAAAAGGGGTTGAGTTGTTGAGATTGACTTGTAGCTTTAGATTCATATACAAACAAATTTTAATTGAGAATATGCAGTGAGTATACTTTCCTACTAACATTTTAACAAATAGAATTAGTGTTTGTCATTATTATACAAATACCATATATAAATAAATTTACACTGGAAATAAAAGGATGAAAGGAACTTACTTGAGCAACAAGAAGGCTATGAAAAGGAATAAAATGTTAAGGATTTAGAGGCTTAGAGCTAGGTAAAAAGCGATCTGTTAGGTTACAAAATGAAAAACACGTGTAATAATTAGTAAATCCTAAAATTTTGTAATTTGTAAAGTCGAAAAACTAACATGTTGAGATGAGCAACAATATATAATGAAGAAGATATATTAGATATAACTTATTTGTATTGTGATTAATAATGTATTATACCTTAGCTCGATCACAAGAAATTGTTTCTTTGTACAGGTAGGTGCATCTCCAATGCCACACAAGCTGGTTGGTTTTCTAAATACCTTTTCAACGGCTGGACATATTTATTTTGCTCGCTAACTGCTTAGCTTGTATACTAATTCTTTTGATAACACTTAGCTATAACATTGCCTAACTACACTGTTGTACCTCTTCAGCTTTTCTTTTTTCTAATTTCCAGTGCTAACTCTACATTACCACTTGATGCTACCTACACAAACAAATAATTGCATCTATGACTTGAATCTTTCTCTTCTTTTTTGGTTGGAGTTGTCTATGACACTTCATTGTGTTATTCTGCTTTTATTGTAAGTTTTTGTGTTATGTGGTGATTGAGTTTGTGGTTGGGAATTGTGGGTGTTGTTTGGCATTTGTAGCTGAAGGGTGTGTACATTTTCTAATTTTCTCTGCACTTATTTGAACAACGACTTCCTTAAGGATCAAGGGAGTAAGAAAATCATTTATTTTCATTATTCACCCATCAAACATCGAAAAATAAGTAAGAAAACCACTTATTTCTAGAGAACATTTTTCCCCCTAGCAAACACACCCTATAATTCTAATCATTCAATAGTATTCCCTTTTTAATTAATAACTGTCTACTTTTATTTCATCAGCTTTTAAAGTTTATGTTCCATATTATATTATTGAAAAAACTTTTTATGTTGTTTGGACTCTCTAAAAGTATCTATGGGTGTGTCGTTTGAATGCAACAAAATTTGGATAATAAATTGATGGAAAAAATTATCATCCACTCATCACGATTATCAAGGCATTAGTTTCTCACGATTATTATTGGTGTATGTCATTACTTATTATTTTATAATGTGTCTGAAGGTAGCCATTAGAGTTATTAGAGGATCTGCTTACGCTTGCCACGAGGACAAACATCAAGTATACCTGCATAGACGCTATGACAATGGAGATTTTAAACATTGTATATGCTGCTTGTGTTGATATTTAATAGCTCAATTTGTAATATATGTTACCATTTGCGATGAGTTCCTGTGTATGTTAATTGAGAGGTTATAAATAAAGATTCCGTCTGATTACTCAATCCTCTCTTCTGTCCCATTTGAACATGTGCTTAAGGATTTTAACCATTACAGAAAATTGATACATGTGCTTAAGGATTTTAACCATTACAGAAAATTGATTAGTTGAGGTCTTGATTCAGCTTAATGATTCCGATATTGTATTGGGCCCGTGCTGACACAGGCTATACTTTCTAGTAGAATGAAAAAGAGAGAGTATTGAGTAAGAGCCTTATTTTAGTATAGGTAATATATAGGTAACTAGTGTACTTGTCCGCATTTCGCGCGGTTAAAATAAAAGGTTAAATATATTCTAAAATAATTAGTGTCATTGCTTGATATACATTCCAATAATAAATAATGTAACTAAAGAGAGAAATATAAATTAAGTTACGATTTTGATATTACCTATTTAGAGAAATTGCTAAAAAAATCATATGTTGCAAATTGCTGATAAAAAAGATGAAGACATAAAAATTGATATGAAAAGCTTCAGTTAATTGACAGTCTAATTATTGTAGTTTCATACACTAAATTCATTGATTCTTATAGCAATACTAGTAAAGGCAGGCCGGGCGTTGCCCGGGCCCAACACGAGCATCTGTGGCGCAAATATGTATGACAGTCGGATCAGATGAGGGGCAGCTGATGGCTGACAATGATATTCAGGAGAAGTATTAGGAGAAACAAACATCAGTGCAAAGGAAATTTAGTGAAGACAGAATCAAGCATTTGAATCAATGCGTAAATCTTTTCAGAGAATGAGCAGTCAGATCAGTTGCGCCTAAAATTATCAGCCGTAGAAATAGCAAGCCCTAGTGTTTCACACGAAGAAAACCACTGAGTTAAAGTCTTTGTGTCTTTTCCACTAACAATGAAAACAATATTCTTTGGATCCCTGCAGAAGCTGTTTAAGATACTAATAACCTCTGCATTTGGACCCTTGCTGATAGAGTTTCTGACTGTCATTGTACCATCATAATCCAAAAGGATTGCCCGATGTTTGGTCCTTTTGTAAGCAGATACAATATGCTCAACTGACAGTTTCCGGAAGCTAGGATCCAAAGCAACCACACGGAATCCTAAGCCAAATCCAATACCCCAACACCTCCTTCTCACATGATCCCTACATGCTCTTTCAAGATCTTGCCAAAAGCTCTGAGCCCAATATGCCACATCATGAGTGCACACATATTTATAGTGCTTCTCATGCCGCATCTGCTTCTCTGCCTCGGAGACAATTAAAGCAGAATCCATAGCTTCAGAAACAACATCAATATTCCATGGATTGACCCTTATTGCACCACTGAGAGATGGAGAGCAACCAATAAACACAGAAACCACCAACATGCTCTTCTTTGGTGCTGTGGGGTTCAAGCCCAAGGTAGCATCCAGCTTCTCCGTTCCTTGTCAGCATATAACATATTCATAAGGTATTAGATTCATTCCATCCCTTACTGCAGTAACAAGACAGCACTCCGCGACAGCATAGTAAGCAATGCGCTCGTAGAACTGAAGAGGCTTATCAACCAAGATAACTGGTTCATATCCAGTCCTTCCAAATTTCTGGTTTATTCTCTTTACAGTAGCATAAGTTTCAGCCTGGACTTCCTGCAAATCTTTCCCTCGGCCTCTGGCAGGATTTGCAATTTGAACCAACACCAATTTACCCTTCTGATCAGGATGTTGAGAGAGTAGGAGCTCAAAGGCAAAGTTTTGAACTTTGATACAGAACCTAAAAAAAAAAACACAGAAATAAGTACTAACAGAAGTCTAGCCACCACCCTAGAGAACAAATCTGATGGCATATGCAAAAATCAGAGAGTAAAAGAGAAGGTTTTGAGGAACAATACTATAAAAAGCCAAAGTTCGAAGAAGGATTTGCCTCAAAAGGGCAACCAAGAAACAGACCAGATACCCCACATGTTAAAAGCCTAGCAACAAATATTGAAATGCAACAAAATTATTCCTTCAAGTAATAAAAAATTGGTTAAAGAGTACACTTGCCAAGAGAAATGGAAACATTTACACCCCACCCTTATCAAGAAAATTGATGGTGATGAAGAAAATGCTATTACAAGTACTCAAGAGGTAAAAGAACATCATATAAGACTTATAAAAGAAAGTCTAGAGGGGTAAATAAGAGGACTATTTTGAAGTTGAGGTAGAGCTCCAACTATAGCTTTATATGAGAAATGATTCACAAATCCTGTTTTGTACTTTAAATCAAAATCAGAAGGAAAATTGGAAGTTCTGCAATTATATGTGGTTGAACTTCAGTTATATAAAACTTCAAACACCGAGTTTCAAAATGAATGAACTTGAAAAATTTGCGTATAACAAATAATGATCTCAAAATAAGGCATCAGTACATGTACTTGGTCGATTTTTCTTTTGAGACCTGAGTTTTATCGAAGAGGTTAGCGTAAAAGCGACATTTTCAAACCAATGTAAAACACTTATAAAAGCTATTACTATATACTACTATGCAGGACCTCATATAAATAAGTAAACAACTGAGATACTGAAAAGTGAAGGAAAAGTACAAGCTATACCGAATCCTGTGAATGCATTCAAAGAGAATTTATTGACTCACAATGTGTGGAGGAGTGGTTAGATTTCTCAAACGGAAAATGTAGCCTCTTTCTTCAATTGCCTTGGCAGTGCAGTATGACTGTAGAGTAGACAAAACAAAGGTACCTCTGGCTTGACGTCGTTTCAACTTCAATTGCTTTAGCTGTTGATTGATATACAGGAGCCCCGAAAACAATCATCAAAGATAAAGCTATGTCATAGATATATCTAATACATGATAAAATCTATACTTAAACAAAAGGATGATAAAAATGTCTTACCTGTAGAAGTGTTTTGCCTGTAAGATACAAATGTATGAATTTGGTAATGAGTTGGAATTATCAAATAATGGCAAGAAGTAAAAAATGGATGTTTCTTAGGTATTTCTTGCTATATGCACGTGTGAACCAAGAAATCTGCAATTATAAAATACACAACGATGATCAGTAATTTTGATTACCACTGGCTATCCTCATCTCTGTTGCAGAAGACTAAGAAGAAAGGAAGCAAGATGAATGTACGTGCAGTGTTTGCAAAGAGCAAAAAGGGGCAAAATATAGAGTATCTCAGGAGCAGAGTTTTCAAAGGTGATGCTCTCGCGAATAAAATCCTGTGTCACCACAAATGTAGTTCGACACCGACATGTATCAGTACCAATTAACCTTGCAATCTAATTATTAGATACACAGAGTAGTATACATAATTACATATAAAGGAAAGACGACGCCGAAGCATGTTTAAAGCCTGTTGGTGAGTAAATGTGCAGAGGGAATATATAAGTTGAAACAAACACTACATGATTGATGGGGAAAGTTGTGATTGTGTAAGTGTATGGTGAAGGATTATTGATTTATGAATATGTGTTGCAGGAACTTAGACCTACAGAAACAGTGCAGCTGCAGGAGACTTTTGCAACTGGGAAATACAGGAAATGGAAAATAATACTTACTGGAAGGCCTGTCGAGGATCCGAGTTTCTTGAACTATCGGCCTCCGCACTGTAGAAGAGATTGACTATTCCTCTTAGTGTTGAACTAAAAATACAGAGCAATAACAAAGAGTATTCCCTTCGATCTGCCTTACATCATTGTGTAGATTAAGAGTTTTCAGAAAAGCTTCAGGTTCATCCTTTGTCTTGAGTAGTTAGAAGTCATTTCTGGAATTTGTTCTGTTGGTGAAATAACCTGTGAAATCAGATGGGCAAACCACTACATCAAGTGGAGTAGTTTGGCAAAGGGAAAATAGGAGGAAAAAGGAAAAGAAGCAAGAACAAACAGACAACATAACTTTGAAATTAAAATGAATCAGAGAAACAAGTTTTAGAGACACGTTGAAGTTGACAAAGGTTCTCCAGCTTACGATTCTTCAATTCTGGATGGTGAATCAGGTGGTGGTGCCAGTGAATGAGGCTTAGACCAGAACATGTTAAACTTGAGCTATTCAGATGGCCAAGTCAATTAATAGCATTTCATAACAAGAAATAGGATATGAATTTGCATAACAAAATTCTCGACAAGTAACTATTCAAGAACTGCAGGCTAGCATGCTTCAGTGAATCGTCATTTTTTGATAGCAACAAAAAATTACAATGGAAAGTTTGATGAAATTAACTATATGAAAGTCAATTGTTACCTTACCTATGAGAAGGCTCTCTGAATAATTTCATCATACACTATATTATATGTTGAATGATGATCATTACTGTCTGCAGTAGGGGGACGAATTAGTATTTTGACACATTTTGAACTTTTTGCTCTTGATAAAGCCACATATAATTGACCATGTGAAAAAACAGGTTCTCGTAGGTAAATTCCAACAAAATCTAACGTTTGACCTTGTGCTTTATTTATAGCCATAGCAAAACACAATCGCACAGGAAACTGTGTCCTTTTAAATTGTACAGGAATTTTCTCATCTTGTGATGTCAGTAATGGAATTGTTGGAATAAATACATGTGTATTTTTGAAGTCACCACTTTCAATTTTAGCACTTATGACATGCGTTTTAAGGTCGCAACATGTTAATCGTGTGCCATTACATAAACCTTCGGAAGGATTCAAATTTCGTAACAACATAACTGGGCAATTCTCTTTTAAAGTTAACTTATAAGGAGGTAAGTCAGGAGGGTGTAAAGTATGTAAAAAGTCTTCAAATTGGCTTTGATCATTTGGTTCAACAGTTTCATCTGTTGCGACATATGTTCTAGCTCTTTCTGGAAATTTTGTGATTAGCATATCATTTATTTCATTTACAAAATCATTTTTTGTTGTTAAAATAACACGAGAAGATATTGCAGATGAATCAGAAGAAAATGTACATAGATCAGGATATGTTACGTTAAATAAGGTATCTAAGGATTGTTCTTCAGTTGTAAAAGGAATAATAAGAGAATTAGGAATCTCAATTTTGTTTTCACACTGAGTTGTTTCTTTTCCATTTCCAATTCTAAGTAGATATTCACAAAAAGATGGATCTGTTCTTGCACGCATATTTTCAGATAGATGTAATTTCTCAAGATCATTCCAAATGTTGGAGTATAACATGCTTTGATGAATAAAATCTTCTTTTTTCCCGTTTCGCACTACTGGAAGAGTCTGTCTAAAGTCACCTCCAAATACAATAACTTTACCACCAAAAAGTGTCTTCACATCCATTATATCTCTCAAAAGTACATCAAGAGCTTCAATTATGTTTTTTTTTGCCATAGATGCTTCATCCCATACAATTAATTTTGCATCTTTAATTAAACAAGCAAGTGGACTTTGTTTACTAATATTACAACAAAAATTATCATCTATGTCAATAGGCATTTTAAAACGCGAGTGAGCAGTTCGTCCTCCAGGAAGAACAGAAGCTGCTACTCCTGAAGTTGCAGTTGCTAAAGCTATGAATCCTTGAGATCGAACAGTTGCTAATAATGCCCGATATAAGTAAGTTTTACCTGTTCCTCCGGGACCATCAACGAAAAAAACTCCTGCCTTCTTAGAAGATATTCTATCAATAATTGTATTGTACGATATAAGTTGTTCGACATTTAATTTTTTTGGTAACAACAAGTCCTCTTCACTAACAATTATGTTTCTCTCAAAATGGATATCTTTTGTGTCCTTTGTAGTTTCAGAAGGTCTAATATTCTCTAAGACGAGGTTATACTCATTTATGTCATGCCCCATAGAATGTAAGACATCATTGATATGGTTTAAAACCTTATATCGAACATTTTTTGGTTCAGTATTGGAGAAACTTTTGAGGTCCTCTGAAAGTGAATCCTCAAACATTTCCCATAATTCTTTTGGGTTAGAAGGATTGCAATATACTAATAATGTAGCAAATAAACGTCTTAAATTGTATGGCATTTGATAACTGACAACCTCTAACATACATTCAATTAAATTATTGTTGCAATATAACAATCCTCTTTTTTCTGCAGATTCACGAAATGTGCTACAAGGTACTCCATCAACAGTGAGAAGATCTTTATATTTGGTCCCCTTACATTCATTAACAATAGCCTGAGGTAATATCTTTCCCCTTCAGTTACGTGGCATGTCACAACACGTCCAATTACATCACGTTTTTTTCGACGTGTCCACATTTTATTGGTGTATGTCATTACTTATTATTTTATAATGTGTCTGAAGGTAGCCATTAGAGTTATTAGAGGATCTGCTTACGCTTGCCACGAGGACAAACATCAAGTATACCTGCATAGACGCTATGACAATGGAGATTTTAAACATTGTATATGCTGCTTGTGTTGATATTTAATAGCTCAATTTGTAATATATGTTACCATTTGCGATGAGTTCCTGTGTATGTTAATTGAGAGGTTATAAATAAAGATTCCGTCTGATTACTCAATCCTCTCTTCTGTCCCATTTGAACATGTGCTTAAGGATTTTAACCATTACAGAAAATTGATACATGTGCTTAAGGATTTTAACCATTACAGAAAATTGATTAGTTGAGGTCCTGATTCAGCTTAATGATTCCGATATTGTATTGGGCCCGTGCTGACACGGGCTATACTTTCTAGTAGAATGAAAAAGAGAGAGTATTGAATAAGAGCCTTATTTTAGTATAGGTAATATATAGGTAACTAGTATACTTGTCCGCATTTCGCGCGGTTAAAATAAAAATATATTCTAATATAATTAGTGTCATTGCTTGATATACATTCCAATAATAAACAATGTAAATAAAGAGAGAAATATAAATTAAATTACGATTTTGATATTACCTATTTAGAGAAATTGCTAAAAAAATCGTATGTTGCAAATTGCTGATAAAAAAAGATGAAGACATAAAAATTGATATGAAAAGCTTCAGTTAATTGACAGTCTAATTATTATAGTTTCATACACTAAATTCATTGATTCTTATAGCAATATTATGGGTTCATCCAACAATATTATATTTACTCTATCATAAATTCCATGATTTTCTTTATGTACAAATAAATATATATATATATATATATACACATATATTTATATAATAAAAATGAATAAATAAATAACGATATATTTGTGATAAATCATGGTGAGAGAGAATACATGAATTATATTCAAATCGATGTGGCAACTCTCCATTACATTTCTTTTCCATTTCGTTAAGTATGCATTTTGATGAAAGACATGTGTCTTATTTAATATTTAAAGGTCAAAATTACATTACATTCATAACCATCATTAAGAAAATAAAATTAGAAAAATACTCTTCAAAATTGGTAAAAAAAGAAGAAGAAGATATTTTTAAAATTTTGAAGATCCATTAAATACCATTGATTTAATCTTAATTTTATATTCAAAATATCAAAATTGTTGAACATGAATTTAACATATTTATTTAGCCTGATAAACAATAATCTTTCGAAAATATTTTGGCATTAGATCCATCAATATTAAAAGTTTTATATTTAAGCTCTCATTCTTATAGAGAGTATTGCGAGAAGAGAGAATTAAGTTACAATAGTGAAACATTATCGTTGAAGTTATACTTTTACAATAGAAAATAAATAAATAAATACATAACGTAAGATGAGATGTAAAAGACCAAATATCATTTAGTGACTTGGTGTGATCCTTACTACTCCAATCATATATAGATTATAAGAGAGTGACAAAGTAATTTTTTTAGAAAAAACATGTGCATGCAGCGTTAAAGATGCAACCTTTATTATTTTATATAGGGAAACGGGTCAAAAATATCCCTCAACTTTGTTTTATTGGTTGACTATGTCTTTACCGTTAAAATGAAGTTATTTTACCCCTGTCGTTACTAATTTCACCATTTTTATCCCTCAATTGGATGGAAAACCCAAATCAACTAAAATTACCCAATTTCAAGTAAATGACCTGATTTTCTCTTTTAATCCGAACCCGACCCAATTATATTAAATTAGAACCCTAAACCTATCTCTCTAATTTTCTCCATCTCCTCCTTCCATTGAAACACATGCTACTAAAATTGACAGCAAATGTTCTGTAGTTAAACTCATGCATATTTGTCTTTCCTACTAAAACTGCATCACTATTTCATAATCTTGACACAGGAAACCCATCTGCCTTCACCTGGCGAACTTCATGAAACCATTTAGAACCACCTGCACTTTTTTACAGAGAAAAATATTCAGCTAAAAATGACAGAGATATTTACTGAAGAAATATGAAGTTAAAAAAATACCCGAATGAAAATAGCAATCAATGTCATCCTTGACTGCAATGAAAATCCCATTCAAGATTGACAGTGGTTTTCCTCCATGACCACATTTAATAGAGGAAGGATATGAAGAAGATTAGAGAGATTTAGCACACTAGTGTGGTCGGAGCTTGGAGCTCGTTCAATCATCGGATTTTACTTTCCTCCAGAAAGATTTGAAACTATGATATTGCTTGCTTGTTGAGCCTAAACTGATATGACGTTGTGGTTGTTGCTTTCGAGCCTTGATGCTCGACTGATTGTGTTTTTGGTTTGATCTGTTAGCGGTGCTTCAGTTGTTTTCCGATGGGGTTTTGGTCGGGGTTTTGTTGGTTGGTTGTTTGGAGGTCAGAGAATTAGGGTCTGGTGGTCATTTGCTGGTTGTTTTAGCTTGGGTGATGGAGGTCTGGGTTCTGGTGTGCTGAAGTGTGATTTTACCACCAGATTTTGGCGTGGAGAGGGTGGTGTTTGAGAGCTGTTTCAGGTCGGTTTCCCGGCTGTTTGAATGATTCCAGCGGTGGGTGGTTTGTTTAATGTTGTTCCAGCTTGGAACTGGCCGGAAATGGAGAAGAAAGGTCTTGTTGTGGTCACCGGAAAGTAGAGGAAAATTGATTTGTTTGTTAATATTTTCTGTTTGGTGTCGTTTCTGGTTTTTGGGGGTTTCAGGTGGTCGTTTGGAGGTTGTTTCAGTGGTGTTTCGCCGGAAAAAGGAGAAAATAAATGGGGGTTTTGGGTTGCCGGAGCTTGATTTGGGGTTTTAATTTGGTATAAATGGATCGGGTTCGGATTAAAAAGAGAAAATCGGGTTATTTAATTTAAATTGGGTAATTTTAGTTGATTTGGGTTTTCCATCCAATTGAGAGGTAAAAATTGTGAAATTAGTAACGGCATGGGTAAAAATAATTTCATTTTAACGGTAAGGGCATAGTCAACCAATAAAACAAAGTTGAGGGATATTTTTTACCCTTTTCCCTTTTATATATTATCGGGAAAAGGGTCTGAAAAATACTTCAACTTTGGCCGAAATTGTTGTTACGATACCAAACTTTATGGAGGACCTTTTACCCCTGCACTACTTAGTAGTGTATTTTAAAGGTATATATGTGCCCACGTGGACACGTTACTATTTATAATTATGTAATATTTATGATGTCCACGTGGACACATATATACCTTTTAAAATACACTATTAAATAGTGCAGGGGGTAAAAGGTCCTTTCCAAAATTCGGTATCGTAACAACAATTTCGGCCAAAGTTCAAATATATTTCAGACTTTTTCCCTATATTATCCATTAATGTCAAATACCCAAAGTAAATTATAGCAACACATTGTTTTCATATTCTCTTCTCTAGTGTTGTTTCTTAAGCATAAAAATAAGTAGAGAAGGTAAAAAAAAAATACGAGGAAAAAGATAAATAAAAATGCTAGTCATATAAATATTATACGTACATAATATAATAATTATTAATATAATTAAGGAGTTATGCGCTCATCAAAAGTCAGGAAAGTAATAAAATAAAGATAATCAAGTTTTTATATTAAAGAATATTGATACATGAAATGATAGTAATTGACACATTCATTTTTGTATAAATTAATAAAAAATAAATATATTTTTAAAAATGAGAGAAAAAAATAAATAAGATCCTTGACCAAAGAGATGTGCCACTCACTTTTCTTTTAGCTTAATATAAGTTTATATTTATACTATATGAGTATAAATTACTCTCTTTCTAAACCACTAAAGCATGTAAAATATAGGATAAAAACCAAAAAATAAAAGAGAAGAAATTAGGAAGAGATAGAATACATGTTAAAATTCTCAATCATTCACGACCACGGCTTATAAATGACATATGTTTTTTCTAATCTCGTGTTAAAAACGAAAAAAAAAATAGAGAAAAAGGGAAGAGATAGAATACATGTTAATGATTAATGAATGTTGCAAAGATAATATAATGGAGGTGCGTAGATACCACTTTCTAAACTTTGACATTACAATATCAACAATTTAGTAATTGACTACAATTTCTATAATAAAATATTATGTATTTTGTAAAAGGTAAAAGAACACTAAGCATGAATTAACTTACTTCGAGGCAAAAATTTATATGCAATCATGAAAAGATGTGGTGTATTAGAAGAGGTTACTATTCTCTTAATTAAAGGTGTTTTGTTCGAATCTTGAGTATAAAAAATCATAGTAGGGAGGAGTGCTCCCTTCAAATGAGTTTTACACATCGTGAATATATAATTATGCTCTAATATGGATATCAAACACCAAACGAAAAAAATCAAAAAATAGATAAATTATAAGAACCTCTTCCAATACAATTGACACATTACTTTCAACTCACCTTCACGATATTCCATAAAAAATTGACACATTTTCCAAGGAAAAATCTTGCCAAAACATTTTGAACTTCCTGCCAGAGTCGACAATATAAAGTTAGACATATTCACTATTAGAGTAATATTATCATATCAAATCCAAAGAAGAATAAAGAGGAAGAAAAAATCAATGGAAAGTATTTCAATGTACTAAAGTATTTTTTTCATTGATTAACGTACTAAAG